TTCTAGTATTCCTTTCAATTTCGTAAACATTCATGTGTATGATTGTAGAAGCAGCTAATACAACACTTTGTAAGTTTCAAAATATTTGTATTTAATGAAAGAACTTGAATGTAACTGCTTTAATTTCATTTGCAGCTGAAGTGATGTCTTTTGCTTCTTCGTGGTCATTATGCGTTCTTCTAAAAAAATCTACTGCCGTTTGTATAGATACCCTTTATGCTATTATTATAGTGCCACTTTTAATGCAGTTTGGGTTTAACAATGACTTCAGGATGTGGCCAAATTACGACTTATAAGTTTCAGTGGTTTACTTTCCCATTTTGTTTATTAGCAACACTGTTCGCAGGACGATAAGATGTTCGCTAAGTCTAAGCTGACTTGAAACTGATATTCCATTTATCACCCATGTTCAGATACCGGCATCATTCACTACATATACAAATACAAATTTGACGCTAAATTCTCTTATTTCTGCTTTGATTTTTATGAATAGAACAACACGCATGCAAAGAAACAAATTGATGAGTACTGAATGCATGGAGGCTAGTTCCTGAGACAGAAAAAAGCCGCGAACCATGATAAATAGCATAAATGACCAGCGTGAGGTTCCAACATCTAATTATAATACATGGCATTCTCCTTCACGTGCAAAGACCTACTTCCTATTCATTCTGTTATTACTTTATTTGCACTTCTGCTGTGCTTTGTATTGATTGGGTTCCCCTCACTGTTACTCCCTTCGAGCGGTAATGATTTTTACTCGTTGATCGAGTGACAAGTGGTATTATTCGTCTCTGTCACGTTTGACATAAAACACTTCTGGTATTTGTAGCGTTGCTTTTGATTGAGTAAGTCTCTAGGATCTGCTTAGGCTCAATCCTATCGCTCAGAAACTCCAACTTGAAGTAGGACAAGGTGGGCCCATTTGTTTTTACATTAAAGCAACACTCATCGAGCTGGTGGGGTGAAAGCAGTTGATACGGAAGTTATAGAAGCCGAGTTGACTGCAAACGAATCTATAAATAAATCGCCGATGTAGCCGTGAGCAAGAGCTTCTCCCTTGAATGAGGGGATGGTGTGGTCGGACGAGCTGTCCGAACTAGCTTACCCTCCGACATTTACTCCTGGCTCGTGTCCGCACCAAAATGCGGTTGCAATCGCATATGCACCAATCAACCTCACAGCTTCATTCCAAAGCAAGTTTTTCTCAGCGACTTTAAATATGTTTTCAGCAAGGGCTCACTCATCTTGTCTCTTTACATATTAGTAGCCAGGATATGAACCCATCTGGGTTTGTCGTATTAGCTTCATATCTCAATTTTCACCTGCTCTTCATACAGGAGGGGAGTCAAAAAAAGACGTTCTGTCTCCACATAAACCAATTAAATCACACCGCTAAATTCTGAAACGAATGTTCTCAAGTTGAAGTGAAAGAGCACAATCCATTTTGTAAAATTAACTTCATATTGTCCTTCAAGGTGGACTAAATCAAAAAAAAAATTAACACTGAAAACATGGTGTACTGGTCGTGCTTAGTGGGGTCGTGGACGGACCCCATACCATTACGACGTCTTCTGGAAGGCGGATTCCGAGGGGGTTTGCATATTCAGAGCAAATGTTTCTTGGAAACTATCCAACGATGAATCGATTGAAGAAATTAAGCAAGAGCTTCGGGCTGGAACTGCATGTCCGCCTGAGCTCGTCCACGATGGCAGATGACGGGGGAGCGCGCAACAGAATCGTCCGGGATTGGCGCCGGCGCGCGCGGTTGCTTGCGCGGCGCCGTAATGCGGCATTTTTTCGATGGGCGCGGCAATACTTGGATTTTTCGATTGTAGGGATGAATTCGCTGCAGTGCACATTAGTCTATTTGAGTGCATTCCGCCTTCTAAGACAACTTTTCTTCCAAAACACTGCGCTGGACTCAATTCATCAGTTTTAGTACTAGGCCTTAGAGGAGAAGAGGGCTGCGAGGTGCGTTAATCATCCTCATCGTGTCCGGGACTCGTCCTCTTCGTGAGGCTTAACCCTAGTGGCTTTTCTACTCACCGACCCTGCAGGCACATTGCGCCAAGCTTTGTTTATTATTCTCGGAATTTTTTTTTCATGGTCATTTATCATGACACCGTTGCTACGCTTAACAGTCAACTGTTACGGTCTGTTCGGTAACTAGAGGTCTAATGCATGTCATTTTTTTCGTCACTTTACAGTTCTGTATCTTTACAAAACGTGCACTGTAGTTTCTCATGCTTCAAGTCACTCAAACTTAAACGAAATAACAGTCAAGTACATCATATTGGGCTGTTTGAAAAGTTTTTGCCGTCGTTAGTCGCTCTTTTCTTTAGCAAAGTCAGAATTCAGATTGAAATGAAAAAAGATTGCTATAATGAAATGAGGAATGGAAAAGGGCCCACTAGGAACGAAATTACCCAAACTTTGATTGAAATAATAAAGCTAGCAGCAGGCTTAGCGTCCCTTCAACACTCAAGTCAAATGACGCTTACAGAAACTCGTCCAGCGCCATCGCGACGTCCCGGCGCGAATACAAGCGGGGGTCTTCGTACGATTCTGTTGCTACACACCCCAGATGACGTCATATTCTGAAGAGGATGAGGGCAGTCAAGGAGGGCTTGCACCTACTAGTAGGAGGGCATTTGGGGGATACTTTGCTGAAGAACTTCCATCAGCGACGGCAATCTCTGCGATGAAAAAAACGCTGAGGTGCGACATAATGTCTTGGCAAAATGTCTTTTTTATGCCCCCCCCCCTGTACATTTTGTAATGTTCTGCTATGCTTTCCCCATCAACATCACTCTCATATAAACGAACGGCTGCAGGTTCTGGCACGTCAGGGCATGGAATTATGTTGTTGATTTTTCATTAGTGTTCCAGGCTTCTTCAGAATGCCGCGTAATATTTTTGAAGCGTTCTAACTCGTTTTGAAATCTTTCTATCTGCTGCTGCTTGTTTACAGACAGAGTGCACGATAAGAACCTTATCATTTATGTTTATTGATTTCCAGGTTCAAATCACGCCTCCCAGGAAAACATCCAGCAAATTCAAATGGTGTGTTTGCACTAAAAGCGAACCATGTCTCCCATGGATAAGACAACAGCATTAATCTAATCGAGTGGAGCGAGTCAGGGCTCGAGGTCATGTCTCATACTATTATACTGAGTGATCTTCTATTTCTTGAGAACTCTCAGGTTGATCAAAAAAATATTTAGTTCATGGGAAATATAAGACTAGGATCATGGCTCAACTCCGGTCAACGTTTGCCTTATCTACTCCGATCCACCCGTGTGTTGCATTAGGTTCAAAGATTATCAAAGGCAGAGGCTCTTCTGATGTTTTACTTTGTTTTCCGATTATGTTTTCGATTGCCCTGTTGTCAGTCTAACAAGCAGAGAAGTTAAGGATCACCTATGTAATTATCTTGTGGCCATAACTTCCACTCAATACTCCAGTGTACAGTGGCGCTCAAAAGTATTCGGCCAAATGCTTTTCCGACCGTAACTTTTTTCTTGCTGGATCGAATTAATTCAAATTTTAATATGTTAACATTTTACTCGGCAGCCGGCATTTCTAACATTTTTTCTCATTCATACTCAGCATTTCTTACAGAAACAGAATATTTTTGTCGAATGTGAGGAAGAGTTAAAGTAGGAAAAATTATTTATCCTACTTACTTATAAAGCGCTTCGTCTGTCGTCTGTCTGTCGTCTTTCGTCTGTCGTCTGTATCTCTGTCACGAAATTCATTAGCTCGTGGGGATTCACTTAGAGAGACCGGGTCAAATGTGATTTGGGTGGCCCAGGTCTAGAGAAGTACAAAACACACATCAGCTCAGCTAAGCCCCACCCACACTGGGCGTGGCGTGCATCGAAGTGAGTTGTACTGTCGACCAAGATTGCAGGCACTATACCAAAACAGCCTCGAAACCGGCGGAGAAGAATAGGTAAAGGTGTGCAGTGGTAAGTAAGATCGAACTAGGAAGACCCACTCCCTCCAAAAAAGCAGCACTTCATTAAAAATTCATAACTCGGTTGGGAGAAAGCCAACAGAGCGGAAAACAAATTGATGTAGTGGAGCAGCGTCTGAGGTGTTCCCTGCGTACATGACGTGGCCGGAGTTCTGCCCACAATAGGCGGGGCGCGCTCTGAAGTGTGCAGCGTTTTCTACGGGTCTAATTTGGGCCGGAAAAGTGTTAATGAGCCAGAAAAAGGTGCACGAAGGTGGGTGGAGGAGTAGAGGCCAATTGTCGTCGGTGGGCGGGACATGACCAACATGGGCGGAGTTTGCGACGGAAATCTATAACACGGTTCCAAGAAGTCCCGGTGACCGGGAAAAAGGTGGAAAGAGGTGGTGAGGTAGTGGAGCTTAAATACTATTGGTGGGCATAACTCGGTTACAGTCAGGAAGACCGGGAAAAAGGTGGACAGAGGTCAGCAAAGAAAGAGAAGTTAAGGGCTACGTGTGGGTGGAGCGTGTGCCAATGTGGGCGGAGTTTGCGCCGAAGTTATAATTCGGCTCCAAGAAGTCCAGGAGACTAGGAAACAAGTGGGTAAAGGTTTTTTTAAACCCCTGTGTGAGCTGGAGGTTGATATTTTTTGTGTGGGTCAGAAAACACATATTGATAATCGTTTCAAATTTGGAAACGATTCAGCGATATTGCGAGAAGAAATTCTCAAAAAACCGTCTGTTTATAAATTTCTGGCCACTACTGTACCTATATATCTTACTGCTGATTCGGTTTAGTTTTATCTTCAAAGCATTCAATTTATCTTCAACTTGTTTTTGCTTGATTTAGACACGTCATTTGTGCATTGAATATCCTTTGCATTTTTGTAATAGACATAGATATTCTTAAATTTCTCCTTCCTGTGACTTCATATTCGTGGCTGTACACGAATTTTATTTGCTCCTACTTTTCGTAAAGGTTGAAGAGGGGATGAGGGTTTTCTAATTGTAATCTGATTTCAGAGATTCATATCACGAAGATGAGTGCGGATGATTGTCCTTGTACTTCAGAGAAAGTGCTGCAATTCCTCAAAGGGATGGCCGAAGTGAGTTGAGAATAGTAGCCGTAGAATAATTTTCGGCAAAATTTTTATTTTTGATTGCAATTTCTACGAAATTGATTGCAACATTTACGAAATGAGCTGAAACGCTCACGAAATAGGCTGCAACATTCACGAATATGGCTGCAAGGTTTACGAATCAGGGTGGAAAGCCCTATAAGTAGATGAGCACTTAGATGGAGTGTGACAGGAGCTGTATGGTGGGGAAGTCAAGAGGAACAAGTCGAGATCCTCACTTTGTTGCAAAGTGACTTTTCGTGATAGGCCGTCTTAGCCAAATTACGAAGGCTTGCCGTAATCGTTCGAGCTGGATTGAGCGCCTCGGGATGTTGTAGAGCACTTGGGAATTTGAGATACTCCTTGTGCGAAGGAAAAAATCAGTTGGCAAAACAAAATAATGAGTCCAAATGTGTAAAAAAAAACAATGTGAAGCTCCAAATATTTATTCAAGACTCGAAAACATTTTACAAAAGATTTGCAGAAGTAGCTTTCAAAAAGTTTGGAAGTTTTTTGGCGAGCTCTCGCTTAGCTCCTTTGTCGAGTGTGAAACACGTAAATTAGATATTATAGCACGATTTGTTCAGTTATTATATTAATAGTATATTAACTGACTAACCTACTGCTAGTCACAAATGTTAAACCCTTACCGCCTGTAGTTGGTCCGTGGAGCAGAAAACTGTTAAAAATAATGGGTGTCAAAGAGTAGCCGTCTCTATGCTCTTGAAAGCCGTTCTTCCGAATGAACACACATTTACCTTCCATACGCAACCGGAAGAGGTGAAAATATATTTGTGGGATGTAGATTTTGCATTAAACAAATTCATGTCCTCATTTTATTTCCTTCACTTCCTTATTGATCTTTTTTATATACTCTTATTTCAAGAAATGTGGTGTAACAGACCTGTGTGATCCAGCACTGGCGCACTACATCACTGAAAACGACGCTCTAAACCGGGTCCGAAATGAGTTCTACTATCCTAAGTGTGGCACATTGCCTGAAGGTACTTTTTTGAGTACTTGTTTGCATTAGGTCAACATGTCTTTTAGTTAATCTTGCTTTTTCTCACCTCCTCTGAATGTAGCCCCTCCTTCCAAGCAGACGTAGAAGAGGTCGATGGCGGGAAATGCTCCATATGGAACTGAGCTTTGGTTTTCGTGAATCCGTATATCACCAGAGCTGCGCTTGTATTACGCGCTCGTCTACAAGTCCGCCGGTGCGCATGACGGGCAGCAACAATGGGCACACCACTTTGCGAACTTGGGCTTAAGTCTGGACTTTTCCAAATTCGCTGTGAGGGTAAATCTTGCATCTGATCACGAATTTGAGGTGCTCTTGCATCGGCGCCATAGCCCCACTCCCCCTCCCGTTTCCGATAAAAAATCCACTCGCACGATAATAAAGAAATACTACGGTCTCGTCACCGATTTAAGTTTAACCACAGATCGCTCATCGCCAATTCGAGCCGAGCTACTCATTCGACCACCACTAGTTCACTGCGTATGGCTGGCCTCTACCCTTTCTCCAGTGTACATATACCATTGACAGTACTCTATTTTTGATCAAATTTCATGTTCTGATGTACATCTGTTTCACAAAACCGTTCAATCTGCAAGCTGTCTTTGCTGCAAGCCCTCCACGGCAATTCATGGCTGTAAAAGTCGCACTACTCACAGAAAACTTTTCCGCTCCTTTTTTTGCACTCACAAGGGAGGTCTTTCAAAGCAAGCCGCGCTTTTCCAAAACGGTTTTTGCATGCTGTAGGGGCTCTCGCGTGGACTACAATGCTGTGTTTCATGCTGAACGGTTCCCTTATGGCCAAAAAAGGGTCGCAAAAAAATTTGTAGAGAATGGGCGGTTTTTACAGCTTTGGAGTGACGTTTCAAACTTGCAGGGAAGACCACCTGCATATTGAAGGGAGCTGATCAAGATGGCATTGAAAACAAGGTGAAGTTCGCCAAAAAGTGAAGTACTGTCAGTGGTACTGCTCTAGAAAGTGAAGTCATAAGCATCGTCGGAAATCGAAGTGGTGTGGTGATCGAGTGGATAACGCGGTGGACTCGTAGGGAGGGACTATGTGGTTCGACTCCGCTCGTGGGAACAGTTTTTGCGTTTTCGATTGTCACCTCCAAATGAGCGCCAAATTGCTTCAGCGTCAATTTTAGCTATATTCACAATCAGGACCATCAGCAGCTTCCGTCAATGGGTTCACTTCAAAAGCTAGCAGAACAAATCTGTAGCGCCTAACTGGCGCCAAATAGCGCCAACGCCAAAAATTAACTCATACTCATGATCAGCACCCCGATTTACCCCCATATTAGAAATTTCAACGAAAATCGAGAATTTGACTTAACTTTGAAAAAGGAGGTGACCATGGGCCACAGGTCGTCATGCACGCCAGCGGGCGGCTTGAAGAAGAGCGCTGCGCGAAAATCAGTGGAACATCCTGATGATTCACGGATTCCAGAGCTCGATTTCATAGAGGACGTCTCCCACCGCGTCCCTGTCCTTGAAATCGCTCCAACTGCGGAGATGAGCCCCTACGGGTGAAGGAGCGGAGGACCCAACACATCACGTCTTGAAGAAAAGAAGAATCTGTCAACTTCAACTCGTGCGGATCCTGTGGTCTATCACTAGCTCGGGTGTCTCCATTGTTCATTTTCTAGTAGAATTTCTTATACTTTGAGGAGGCGAGAAAACACAATCGCTGGCTGGAGTACCCCATGGGCTACTCACCGACCAGTCAGTGGCCAGTTTTTCGGAACTGGCTCGAAATCTCGATTTCTCCCAGAACTTCTACTATGAAGAGCATCTGATGCTTTGATCACGAATATGACATCCATTTATCCAGATGGCTCCAATTAACCCTACTTCACCTTTTGATGCCCTTCTGCCGTTTCAACATTTTAGCGCCATACTCCAGTTTAGATCTGAGTGTAATGTTCCTGGTGGTCCTGATAATGAATATTTTTCCTAATTTTAACATTGGTGCTACTTGGAGAAAATTCGGAAGCTCCAACCATGGTGCAAAAATTTTGTCACCACGGGGGATTGATCCTTGTACCATTTCCTCACCCCTTTCTGACCTTCACGGGGCCGTTCAGCGAAAATGGGCCTTGGTTCTATAGTCCACGCATAAGTTTCTATAACATGCAAATAACCGTTTTGAATGAGCGCGGCTTGCCCTGAATGAGCTCCCCTGTCAGATGAGCGCTCGTCGAAAATGATTTTGTAGCCCAAGTGCACGTCCCTATAGAACTTTAAATGCCGAGAAACATAATTGGGCTATCTCTCAGCGCCCTTCCATTAGTGAAGCCCAATGACTTTATCAAAAGCGTTCCACACACATCGTGTTCGCTGCCTTCGAGTGGTGGTTATATGCACAAAGATCATCCAGTGAGTACCTCAATCGTCACCACACTTCGTTTTTCCATCGTCCATTTTTTCATCATCTTACGCTAATGAAAGCTTTTAGATTTCGATAGCATCAGCTTGATGGAACTATTTTCAGCTGACTTCGGCCTATGCGATCCAGAATCCGATTCTATCTACATGTGTGGTAACTCGTTAGGTCTGATGCCTAAAGCAACTGAGAGAATCATGAAGGAACAACTTGAGAAGTGGGCTAAAATGTGGGTTTCTCACAAATTCTTTGGTTTTATATGACTTTCAGTTTTTGCGAACTTGCTTTGAATGGAAATATTTATGTCGGTTTTAGGGGTGTCTTTGGTCACAGAAGTGGTGAACTGCCATGGGCTTTCTGTGATGAGCACGCTTTAGCAGGTGTTGCACAGCTCGTCGGAGCCAAACCTGAGGAAGTTGCACTATGCAATGGCCTCACTGTTAACATTCATGTACTGCTGGTAAGGAATTTTAGCAATCACCGTATTAAAAACGCTCATACATCTGTCGAGCTCATCACCTGAGTTAGAGGTATCCAAGAAGATTGGTTTTAACACGTTGACGACAGCGCACATTTTGGCTTTTTTTGACCTCGTGGGACATGAGCCGTTTGGCGGACGCGATTTTCGTGACGTGTAACCGCGCCCTGCTGTCCTACGAGATGCAGTTTAGGAACTCAACTCAGAATGTAACGAAACAAGAGAGCAAGGGAGTCGGGAAGATGGTCGGATAACGTTATACATACAAAGTAAATACTGCTACAAAATACGAGCCTATGCAAAGATTCGCCCAAGAATATTCGGCTGAATGACTCAAATTAGAGGTGGTCGAACCATTGCTGGAGGTTGGGCATGAGTATATTTCAACTCTTCAGTCTAACTACACGTGACACGAGCTGGAGTAATTTCATAAAGGTTTGAGTGCTATTAACAGAAGAAAGTGTTCTACATGTTACGCAACATTTTCGGAATACATTTGTTGTTGGTGACGGCCATAGGCGGCACGGAAGCTCTCTCCACGACGCACTTTTCTGGGACGGACTGGAAGTGTGACGCCACTATTAGCACCATTGACCATCAGAATTCGGAGAAGGGAGAGTGGGGGAGGTAGCCGTCGAAGGTCATATCTAGAGGGCTGGAGAAGGAGGTCGTTCAACGACACGTTGGGATGCCTGGCGTGGCATGATTCCACCAACGGTTCTCTCGTCTAAACGCTTCCTAGCCAGGGTCAAGCGTGCGTTGAGGAATCCTCGACATGCACAAAGGGGGGGGGGTCGTATTGGCCCGCTGGGGAGAGATCGGGCCCGATTAATACAGTAGGATCATCGTCGGAGGACAAACATTAAGGATCGAATCGATACCAGGCCAGAGTATTTCCAATAACAATTGATTCCGTCCACACAAAATCTTCGTGATTTAGAGGTGTCCGCTTAGCAATTCTCATTGACCTTAGTGCTTCATCACCACACAAGTCGAAGGATCCGAAATTCGCACGTTTTCTAGGGATATTTTATCTTTCAAGTAGGTCCTCAAATCCAACGAGATGTGAAGCACACGGCGCATCCCAGAGTAGGCCCAGTTGGTTGCGCGCGCTTCAGCTACGGCTATCTTGATAACGAATCTTAATTTAGGAAGAATCAAGAGGGTTCCGAAAGAGTTCATGTTAAATTACAGAGAGGAGCACACTATTCAACAAGAAACGCAGCCTTCAGCGTCAAATTCACAAGCATGTAACCTTTCAAGTTGAGACCCGCTAAACAATTTCAAACTTTTTGCAGAGAGAAAAGCACGATGATTTTGAATCTGCTCCTACTTCAGTATGTAAGCGCTCCTGCAAGGAGCTATAGTCGTTGGGATAGTGCTAATGTAGCGAAAAAGTACCTTTCGGCGGTACTCGGGCAAAAATCCTCAACGTGGCCATTTTTTGAGTACTGGACGTATGAAGATGCTTTAGCGACCGTTGATAGAGAAATTCTTCTAGTTTTGTATGACGTATCAACTTTTTGAGTTTGATGGAAATGAAGCAAGTTATTGCTCCGGAAAGTGTAAAAACTCGTGCTCGTCTCGAATTTTACTCGTTATTTGATCTAAATTTGTTATTTCTTACAACTTCCTGTAATTTCAGTACTGATTAGAAAAAGCTCTTCACAATTTTGGGCAAACATCTAACGTGGCCATTTTTTGAGTACTGGACGTTTGAAGATGCTTTAGCGACCGTTGATAGAGAAATTCCTTTATGTTTTGTATGACGTATCAACTTTTTGAGTTTGACGGAAATGAAGCAAGTTATTGCTCCGGAAAGTGTAAAAACTCGTGCTCGTCTCGAATTTTACTCGTTATTTGATCTAAATTTGTTATTTCGTATAACTCCTGTAGTTTCAGTACTGATTAGAAAAAGCTCTTCACAGAACTCCCAAATCAGCTTTCAGGTTGAAAACTCGTTAATTTGGAAGAAAGTTATAATCATTTGATGTTCAAATTTCAATAGTAAGCTGCTCGACGGTCAACGCCAAAGCCAAGTTAAAACACAGCTGGCGGAGGCTTTTACAAGGCTTCCTTTGAGCGAAAGCGGACGTGTAAATTGAGAAGCATAATCTGTGTAGTACTAGAATTTGGTAAGTCTTGTGGAGGAAGTAAACAAAGAAAAGGTGTTGTTAATAGTACGCCATTTCTAGTGACTAGTTTGACGTTTTTTGCTCCGTTTCTCGTTTGCTCATTTGACAGGACTCGTCATTAATGATCATTCTTTGGCTTTTTCACTTTAATACTTTTAAACGAGTTTTTTTGTGGACGATGGGGTAGCAGGGCTTTTTTGAGGCAGTTTGGTGGAGAATTAAACAACTTTTCATAGTTCGGCTTTTAAAGAGGGTTGTTTCATGGACTCGCGTTGGCAGAGGGAGGGGGGTCGTATTTCCGAATTTTCCTCGACTCCTCGCTTGACCCTGTTCCTAGCCTAGCGAATCTCCCTTAAGTAATCACTCACTTATTTATCTATGGTTTCCATACACATGCTAGTGCTTATTCATCGATTAAGGATAAGAACAAGGAAGAGTGGTAATGCTCAAGGGAGATTCCACGATAAGTATGAAGCTCGAAGTAAGGAGAAGACACCCAGTGGAAAGACAGGCGGCCTTCAAGGGTGCTAACAGAGCTGCAATTAGCAGTGAAGGGTATGCCCAGGCGATCTAGTAGTGTGGCGGTCATCGTACCGCAAGCGTTGCTGCTCGCTCACCGACTGGCGAAATACCCGCTTGCCGTTACAAAGAGCATTATCGTTGAAGATGGCAGCACCGATGAAAGTTGTATTAGAGCGGAAATCGAAGGCGTTCCATTTTTCAGATTCTGAACCGTATCGTATAGAGCCTGTATTGAAGAATAGTTCTTCATCTCATTCTTTTTTCCTCATTCATTTCATTTCTCATCCTTTAATCATTCTTTCCTCTTATAAATATGTTGGGCGTTGTAATAAACGACCCTGTACAAATTTTGAGCGAAAAGAAGCAAATTCTCTAAAGGAGCAGTTCCTGTAAAACTTCATGCACTGCTCATTGCCACTATTGGCGGGGCCAGAATCGCAGACACGGCGAAACGCATGTCAGGTATGGAGCCACGTGAAATTTCTGAGTTTAACAAACAGCCTATTCACGTTTTGCACGTCTTGCGACGCCAGCGCCGACAGGTGTAACAGTTTTACGGTGGTAATTTAATTTTCACCAGGTTTCCCTAGTTTTCGGATTGACGTCAGTACCGACGCCCATCTTCTTTTTTGCCACAGTCATGAATCAAGGGGACCAATGTAACGACTTTTTGTGAGAATTAGAACAGATTCCCGTAGACTATTTCTTCGAAAAGAAATCGAAAAAGGAAAGTATAGGGGAAGCCATGGGTCCCCGTAGACTATTCCTTCGAGAAAAAATCGAAAAAGGAAAATGTAGGGAAAGCCATAAATAGGAATCCCTGTTCACCGCCCTGAACAATGGAACGCTGGGCGTGCGCGTTCAGACAAGTTTTTGCTGGCCCCATGCCAGCAGTTGATGTGGTCGTAAAATTTCGATGCAGATGGTTTATTCTAGTTGATTTTTCTTTCTATGCTCTTTCTCGTCATTTCTTTCTTTTATTTTGTTGTCATCTTTTTGAAGTTCACTGCGTAAACATCGCTGCCTTTGATGCGTGGCTCCAACCAGCTCTTCAAGATTAGGTTCAGCGACAGTTCATGAAACGAATAGGGAAGCACAAGTAGCTGCAATGTTGAAGGCGCTGCCGAAATTGTGGCCACGCTTTTCTGGCAGCTCAGCGTTGCAGCCGAAGCGAATGGCGAGGCTTTCCGATGAGGCATGAGGGTAGCGGGTTCAGAGAACCGATGTTTTCGCAGTGAACTTCAAAAAGATGACAACAAAATAAAAGAAAGAAATGGTGAGAAAGAGCATAGAAAGAAAAATCAACTAGAATAAACCATCTGCATCGAAATTTTACGACCACATCAACTGCTGGCATGGGGCCAGCAAAAACTCGTCTGAACGCGCACGCGCAGCGTTCCATTGTTCAGGGCGGTGAACAGGGATTCCTATGTATGGCTTCCCCTACATTTTCCTTTTTCGATTTCTTCTCGAAGGAATAGTCTACGGGAATCTGTTCTAATTCTCACAAAAAGTCGTTACGTTGGTTCCCCTGTTGCGCGCTTGTAAGCCGCGAAAAGGCACGATATCAATGCTTGCCTAACAGTCTGCCATGATCGTGGACCGTATAGGTGTCCAGACCATGCCTTTGATTCAGTTCTCGTTGAACGGATGGGTAGGAGCACCAACGAAAGATCTAAAGAGGAATATAGTTTGGAGATGAAATTGAAATGTTCACTTTGTTTTATGTACGTAAGTTATACTTTGTTTCAGACAGCATTTTACAAACCGTCTGATTCACGTCATCAGATCCTGTTGGAGTCTAAAGCGTTTCCTTCTGACCACTATGCGATTGAATCACAAATCAAGCTGCATGGCAGGACGGTGGAGGAGAGCATGGTGTGTTCCTTTTTTCCAGAATGTGAGGCATGATTACACAGCAGTGGTTTGATTCCTGTCTTCGAAAATTCAAACGACTGGAGCCTCGCAACCATACTTCCAATCCCCCTCGAGAGTCTAGCAATCCTCAGTAGACTCAGTTGAATTCAGTCTCACATACCTTCAGCTTTGTATAAATACAATTTTCATCATATTTCTGGGACAGTTATCACTGACAAGCTACTCAGTGTAATAGGGCTCGTGTTTGGCAGAGTGCCATTGAGTCAGTTGTAGACAATGTGACAACGAATCAGTTTCCTCATCATGCATCACGCATTGATCTCAAACTCGTAACGCAACCTATCATTTCAATATATGGTATAAGAAAAAAGTCGGGAAAAAAGACTCAAACAGCTGCACACTATCTACATCAGGGCTTCCGACTAGTAAGACTGCCTAAAATTCCCTTCTGGAAGCGAAAACTGCGCAGCTATCTCCGAAAAACCAGTGTCAGCATAAGTGTTCTTCAACTGCAATATTTCCTATTACATGAGCAATAAGTGCCAAGTAGGTGCATGTCTGTGCCTGCCACGGAGTGCGCTATTGCCTGAACAACAAGCTGGACAGGCAGGATCATGTTGGAGAGCTAGGGTGTGGGCTAGAATGTGAGGAGCGCATACGAGCCATTTCAGTACAACTTTCACTTCGTAGAAAAAAGAATGGAATGATGCTATCGATCGCCAGGTCAGTTTGGGGAGGCCCATTTGAGGTGAATAGACCCCTTTTAAAATGGGGGAGCTTCACTAAGTATATCTTCAACTCGGTTATAGCAATGACTGCAAAACAGGAAAAATTGGGTGAAAACCAACGCTTATGGCATATCAAGCATATCTGAATAACCCGTCAACATTAGGGGAAGCGTCCTTAAGAGGAAGGGGTTCTCTTAGAATTTTCATAGCTCCGAGCTCCGGGTCCAGAGACCTGGGAAAGAAGTGGATTGAGGATGGCTCAGCGTTACTAGGCGTGCACCAAGGTGAGCGGAGCTAAAATTCAAATTCCGCAACGCAGCTTGCACCGATTTGGGCGAGGCTGAAAACAAGAACCTGAGCAGCCTCTTCAGTGTCGCCATATTCCAGCTTGACCTCGCGTTAGTGTGCAGAACTAGCAAGTCAATATATGGACGAACAAACCGGTTTTTTTTTAGGTGTTCTTGACTCCTCGTGAAGGTGAAGTATGTCTACGAACAGAAGATATCCTGGCGTACATCGAGGAACATGGAGAGAAAATCTCTATCATATTTCTACCTGGTGTTCAATACTATACCGGGCAATTATTCGATATCCATTCGATTACCAGAGCAGGGAAAGAAAAGGTAAACTTTAGCAAGCAAAATTCCATGCGAGTTGGCGATTCAGAGGCTACTCCTTACACAACATTCACCTTTAACATCTCTTCGAGCGTTGATGCGTTCCCTTGAAACCACGAGTCGGTATTAGATCCCAAAAGCCAGTCCCCTCTAGAGTGAGGGAGAGGGGCCGTCAAAGGTAGGAGGCACGACACTGTCGTGACTCAAAAGTGCGAGGCAACGACACTAAGGTCCTGCCTTATGTGCTGTCAGCGTTATGAACCACGACATACGTGGTCTCTGCGTCCTCCCGCGCACGACGCACTATTTCGCGTTCTCCCTCTCTTCGCTGCGCTGTGCCTTCCCGTCGTACCACAGCCGGCCTCATACGGGAAATTTAATGCTTCCAAGGGTGCTTTTTGCTTTTTTCTCCTCACTAATGTTCCTCATTGCACTCCTTGCCTAATTTCCGAGGAAAATTACGCATCAATTTAATCCCGACTCGTGCCTCTAAGGCACAAGGCTACTCTAAATTGTCCACTTTTTCTACAATCTCTCTCTTTACATTCACACTTTCAAGAACTAAGCTGTCTTGTAAACTGCATAATGTTGAACAACGCTCAGGTCGGACATAGCTGAACCTACTTGGGAATCTGTATTTAATAAAACTATCTTCAGTTTCCTTGCTTTTCACTGTTCAGTGATTACTAGACAAATTTCAAATAAGTGAATTATAATGAATAGAATTGTAAATTTTATGGGATTGGTGTTCTGTTTCATGCAGTAATTCCAATTATTATTAAATTTCGCACATGTATGATGAAATCTGAATCTGTTTCAAAATTCACTCAGGGAAGTGACACCATCAACGCTATCTATGTTCTTCAGGGTTGTTTGGTGGGTTGGGATATGGCTCACGCTTTTGCCAACGTTCCTCTGCAATTGCACTACTGGGATGTTGACTTCGCGTGTTGGTGCTCATACAAGTATGGCTGCACTGGAGCTGGAGGGCTAGCAGGACTTTTTGTTCATGAAAGGTTGGTTATTTTTGAATTCGCTGCCTCAAAACTTTTTTTTGAAGCACTACCTGAAGAAGCGTACAATCAGGAACGTGAATTCAAGTCCTTGTTGTTGGAACTTGCAAGTAGTGATGAATGGTTGGGGAAAAATTTAAAATTCCTGTAGAACCAGTGTGAGTGCAAATTAGGTCAAGGAAGATCGTCACGTTGGTCGGAGTTCAAAACCGCACCTCTTGCAAAGTTATGAATACAACCCCCACCCTCTCCATCATATTAAACTTGGCTAAACGGCCTTTAAAATCTGAGATCTGGCTGAACTCATTGAACCGCTAAATATAGTGCTGGTTGGATGCAGTATCTAGATTTGTTGAGCAGTGTTTGGTGCGAGTACCACCGAGTGGTTTTCCAAAGCCGGCAAGGATTTTGTCATCAAACCCCACCTCTACACAACCCTTCGCTTACGGTCTTCTTCTGGCCAAAGGAAAGTAAGAAATTCCTCAGAATTGAGGAAAACCCTTTTTGGTCCACTTTTTCCTATTACGCTTTGTCCTACAAGGGATGACGACCAGTAGTATGTACAGGTTACCAGAAGAGCATTGTTTCAGGTTCAAGACAGACAAACGAGAACGAATGTTGGGTTGGTGGAGTCATCGAATAGAATCTCGCTTTAATATGGACAATGGTGCGCCTACGTTGCTTCAGTTTGAGGGAACTCATTAAGTAGTCGCTTTATTAAGAGAATATTCATCACCATACCTTTTAGTTCTTGATCTCGATGATGGCGCAGCTGGCTACAGAATCAGCAACCCACCTATCCATCTAGTTGTACCTGTAATGGGCATATTAGAAGTGAGTCGGACACTATTTACCCTTCAGTGCCTACATTCGGAAATTGGTCTGCATTTTTTCACGGAAATTTTTGCGAAGTTCGTCTCAGAGGATAAAATCACCTTGAAACTTGCTCTCAGGTCTGGATTGACCCCCAGAATACAACTGCGACATCAATTTTCACAATAGTGCTTGGCGCCTGCGCTACTAGCAGTTAAGCGAAAAAGCATCGAAACAACTCGGGCCACCAAACTCTCTTCGAACTTGCCAACTTGGGTAATTCAACCCATGGAACACGAATGCCACTCGCGTTCGGCGTGAAAGCACCTTGCTTCTGCTTTACAAGTACTGGTGCAAAGCCAATGCATCACGGGCTGTGGTGTGAGCACCAACCGAGCTGCGCAAACGGATCTGGGACGGTAGTAAAGTACCCTAAACTAGCAATAAAATGTGATGATTTTTCCCCATTGACGAGGAGCATGCAGCGTGGAAACATGGGCATGACCTTTCTCGAAAACACCAGCCTCGCACACTATCTGAAAAACTTGCGCCACTCTTTGATTTGATCTCTGGATGATAGGCCTCTACCTGCTTTTTGCTGCTTTACCAGGGAACACTCGACCACACCACTGGAAGAGATGTTGATGATGGATAAGCAACAGATGTTGTTTGCAAATGTTAGGCTTTGAGCGGTGTTGATCCTGCAAACTTGCCCTTGCAGCGTGGAACGTTCCCAGTGAGCCATTGTCAAATCGCAATAGCGGAAGTAGTGAGCATACACCACCTTGCCTGCAAATCTTGCGTCGCACATGTGTTTGAACCTTTAGTGCACCGTCCCATGTACGACATCGCTATCACCTCATTTGAGCCCTTCTTATCGATAGTGTAAGGGTGCAGCGAAAAGGGAATAGCCTGCGAAAGTTGCAACACTTTAGATATCTTGAAGGTTTGATCCCGTGACCGATCCAACACCAACGTGGACCGCATGCGCTACTCCATTGACGAATCACAAGATGCTTCTCTTTTCCTTTCCAACACCTTGGTTTGACCCATGCAGTCTGGCAGTTTGGATCTGACATTTCTAAAAAGTCCCCTGGAGGACTTTTCAGATGAATTGGCGGCGTGTTTCCGTCTCCATCCTTTGCGCACTTTTCTTCTTCCCCGCCGCCATCGTTGTTAGCTTTGGGTGACCACACCGCTAGTCCTCTTACTACCACGTGAGGTCATCGCCCCGACTTCCTGTGAGTTCGAACACACTTCGACTATTCTGACGGGGTTTCTTTGGAGGGGTTCCTGAGGTGCTTTACGCATATTTTAAGGTATATTCGTTTGGAAGCCATCACCAAGTTACGACGAGCTCGTGGTCACATAGTAACTAGCAGCTGAGGCCACTTTACTACCGTCCCTGGTATAATTCTTCTTAGAATTAAAGCACTTCTGGAGGCACCTATTTAGCTCTCTTTTTTTCCAAAGCAAACTCTGAGAAAGATTCAGCACAAATATGATAAAGTGTGGCAGTAAATGGTTAATAGTGCATAGGGTTGCTAAAGTGCCATGATATTAATCACGGTTTGACGTAAAGCCGATTTCTATAACGAAAGTTAGCAGTTTCCCCAAAAGTTCATAAGCTAGGCTTAGCATTCATTTTGTTTGCAGGTGTTCAAGAATGTGTCGCTTGAGGATCTACGCAGCAGATCGTGCTACCTTACTGGTTACCTCGAATTCTTAGTCAAGCATTTCTTCGCCGAAGCTTCTGAACATAGGTACTGCTGCAGTATCACTACGATAGGCTTCTTCGCCAAGCCGTTTGCTTTTACAGAGCCTCAAAGATTTTTTGCGCTGTAATTACTCCGGCGGAATTTCACGAACGTGGATGTCAGCTCTCTCTACGCTTCTCAGTGTCGATTGATGTTATCTACCCGGAACTAGTCAAACGTGGTGTAGCGGTTGGCCAAATTTGCTCTTTCTCGTTTTATCGATCTATTGCAGATTATATTGGACAGGAACAATGACGTTTTCAGATAAGCAGAATATCCGAGATGGCGATAAGCAGCTGTGAAGTAATACCTAGATAAATACAATATAGTGGATAGAGCGGGTCTTACGCCCTGTGTTAGTGGCGCTTCAGGGCTTACCTCTGGTTGGCTCATTTAGGCGCTTACTGCAGGAAGCGCCACCAACATGATCACGTTCCGTGAATCGAATCTCGCCCAAGTCAGCCAAATCCACGATCATTCCTAATTTGTGTTGAGAGTTTTATGTCGAGCTTGTTCGTAGGTGGGAACACTGTTTTTAAGCTTTGGATTTTACGAGAATTGGCTTAGTTCAAATATTTTTTAGTTGCTTTAGCGATTTTAAAGGCAGCAGTTACGATAGGTTTGAGAAGGGTTTGGAAGACGTGACAGTGCTCAATGTACGCCAGCAAAAAAAAAACAAAGAAATCTGTCATTTAGTGAGATTACGAAGGGTTGGCTTGCGATGCCACGTTCGATTTGTATTCGACGTGCCCCTTTGTCGTTTTTCCGCGCTTCCACGGCGACAAAATGGACGGTGTAGAACCTGTCAATTGTGCTGTAACATGTGGAGTCTGGCAGGTAGCCGAACGTGCCGTCTAGGGGTTTTACAGCACCCCGGGGTTTACCTCCCTTGCACCACCTCAGTCGCTTGCCTTGCCGCGGAGGCGAGCGCTGCATGCATTTCTGGATAGTCGCCCAAGGACGAGTGTGGTAGATGAGGAAGTTGTGCACTCGCAGCGCGAGGCATCATATCATCTCACGTTGGCGCTGGAACGTGCGGGTACATAGCAGTAGTGTAGCTGCGTGCTCCAGTGCCAACGTGGATTACGGTAGCGGTCACCCATCGGACTGTCAAAACCGGCTTGTAGTCCATCAAGGAACTGCAAAACGGGACCCACTAATTTGGCCATTAGTTTTCGGTCATGAACAAGTTACAGCTTAGAAAGTATAAGAGAGTCACCGTAACGCGTTTGGTGGCACCATTCCAAATCACGCTTTGATCGAGTGCTCCTGTTCTACCGCTGCTGGCAACACAGCTCGTCCAAATCACCAGGGAAACTTGGGGGGAGGGGATCGTTTTTGGGGGCAATGTTCCTTCAAAGTCCTACTAAGCAACCTTTCGTCGTGAAAGCGCCATACCTCGCTTCCTTAGCAGCCAAGTAACTGCTTCAGGTGATGCATGCGTTTCACCCAGGCGCTCTCTCTTGATCGTAATCTCTTCCTTCGAGAAAATTCGATTTCTGGCGCATTTCTAGGGTAATCGACCAACGCCGATTGTTCTTGATTTGTCTTGCACGGGGCAAAAGTCAAGCAGCATGTGTCGAAAGTTTGTCTTGTGAAAAGAAAGGCAAACAGATAGCGCAGCGAGAGAAGAGGGTAAAGTAAAATTCTCAAAAAAAAAAGATTGGCAGGAAGTGATTAGGGAACGAGATGGCAAAACTAATGAAGAGGTGGTCGAGAAAGACACGGAATTGAACAAAACCACTTCGGAATCGAAGCGAATATCAAACCTTCAGCTCTCGCGTGAACTGTCGTTCGATATTCTCCGTCACGCTTTTGAAACTTCCAACTTTGCCCACAAGTAAATAGAAATCCGTCTAGTGAAACTTGGGAAGTAAGAACATGTTGTAAAGTCAAATTATAAGGAACCCACCACGAAAGCATATCAGCCATAAATATAAATGATAGTGAAATAGTACTCTTAAATCTTGTGATGCCTAGAAAACATAAATCCTTTAAGTCGATGATTGCGAAGGCTAGGAGACGCAGCTAATTTATAGACTGCGTTGGTGAAAAAAGCGTTGAAATTTTAAAAAGCACACTTATCAGCGCGCTAGGGCTTTTACCGCCGCCCAACGCGTTCCCACCGAGATGTGTTCAAATTAGGTCTCCTCCCACTAGGGTCAACCCTATATTGCGCAAATTCCAAGAATTTTACGACCCCCTCCCTTTTAGAGGGTATCAGTACGACCCCACTTTCTGTACTAGCCGCTGTGTTAGCCATTTATGTCCTTTTATATGTTTTCATGCCTATCATCGATTATTCGGCCTTCATCGACATGAAATGAAGTGGTGCGCCGTGGAAAGTCCGCGCTTTTCCCTCAGGGATGGGAATTGAGGCAAAATTCCAATTTTTTTCATTATATTAGGCACGATTGTGATCGCAGAGACTTCTAATTCCAGAAAACTACCAATTTTTTTTTTCGAACTTCCAAATCGCCCTTTTATATACTCAAAAACGAAACCTTGCAGAAATCGCGTTACGACAGAATCTCTTCGTTTAAAAGTTATGTCATTCTTCAGGAGCGATACCATAGAACTGGATACAAAAATTCAAAACTTCAAATTGTTTTCTTTTCGAAAAGTAGCTTAACTACTGTGAATGTTCAATGCTTCAGGAAATCCTCCCGTTGTTCCGTTTTTTTTTGTGCACACGCGAGTTTTTGACATTCAAACATTCATAACTTCCTTCATTATGAACATTTTGCAGATTTTCAGAGCTAATTAGAAACGAGAAGATAAACGCTTTCGAACCAGCGCTGGAACTTCTCCAAAAAATCACTCTTAAAAAAAGTCCCTTTGTTCCGTTTTTTCCCCGTGATTTTTTCAAGCCATTTTCTTGGATCGCGACTTTGCAATCTCAAACGTCCATAACTCCCTTCGAAATTCATATGACGAGAATCGGTAGAAAGTATTGAAGTCCAGATGAAGAGTGCTTTACAGCGTATGCAAAATTTTCCTAAGAAACTTTCTTAAACCAGATCTTCTGAGCTGTTGCTAGAAGACATTTCGCAAGTACTAACTTGCTTCCCCTTAGATGTTCTGAAAGCATTAGGATTCTTTTGATGACGTTTGTCTGCTCACGGTCTCTAATAGATAAAGGGTTCTGAAGTGAAAAATTCTGCTCGAGGTGCGCCGTGCACCTGTATGCGGTTCGCAGTCGCACTAGCATTTGAGAGCCCTCCACTCCCCTGGAGACGCTGATATTATCGCGATTGTAATTGCGGTCTACTGTTACATGACATCCTGTTTTCTCCACGCATTTCACCGCAGGTCCCTGCGTGTTCGACTCCATCCCCTTTCGTTTGGCCATATACGACCCCCCTCGTTGTTCTTTGCTTTTTTTGCGCAACGGACTCGTACCAACCACTGCCTGCAATGACAGTAATAGATGGCTGAGAAGTGGGGGACTTTTAATGACATTAGCGCTTTTGGGTGGGAATACTTGGGTTGTGGTCCCAACCGCGCCCCAGGGCACTGCGAGTCCACCAATGACGTCCAATAATGTCATCAATACCCCTCGCTCCCCACTGATCTCGAAATATCATAATTTTAATTTTACCTGTCCCTCGGGAATCATATGTCGCACGCTTAAAAGAATTAAATGGATAATTCACGGGTAGAAGTTCTTCAATTACTAGGACAGGCTTCCTATATCCCACGGAACATTGGATGAAAACCTAGATAAATGAGTAAGTACCATATTGTTCAAACTGCACACGAAGTGGTTAATAATAGTTGATCGGCCAACGTTCGGCAAGTCTGCCTTCGTTGGAGCCCAAAAGGATTGGAGTCGAGTTTGTGAGTACCCGTCTAAATATCTAGAAACACCTACTTAGATTTTCGACACCACCTGAGTTCCTTCACCAGATTCACCGGATCTGCTAACGACACGCATAGTACAGTAGGCCTTTAAACTGACCGTGTTCAGAGCCTGGTTTTGAAAGATGGTCTTACAAAACATATAGGGAGTCAGCTCTCGCGTAGTTGGCAGGCACTCCTCCCTCCGGTTCACTTTTGGATCCAAGCTGCCTCGAGGGTTTTGCGCTCGGCAGTTTGAGTCTCATGCGCCAGGACCTCAACCGTGAGCTAAAATCGTCACCGTCATGGCTTTGCAACCTGTGGCAACCTGATGAGGTGGATAAGCGCAACCTAGCCTTGCCGTTTGGATGCTCCTTGACCGGCGCAAAAGGTGTCTTAGTCGCTTTACAGCTGTTCGTCACAAAAGTCAGTGTCCTTCTATAAGAGCGCTCAAAAGTCTTATTTGTTGTGTTAATGTGTTGAGTGTGTTATTTTGTTCGAGAATTTGACAAAAAGTGCCATGAGGAATGTCAGTGGGAGAAAAAACAAAAAGCACTACAGAGGACGCTGAAATTTCCCTAATGAGGTCAGCCGTGGTATTACGGAGAGGCACGAAGCCGCGAGGGGAGGAAAAACGCGATAAAGCATGTCCGAGGGGGCGTACACGCCATATGTGTCGCGGTTGATAAAGATGGCACTTGTTTCGCATTTTGAGCCGGGACAGTGTCGTGACTCCTTTGCTTACGGGTCCCTCTTTCTCACTCTTGGGGGAATTCTTGACACTCAATCCCGAATCGTGGCTTTTACGCGGAAGCAGGGTCAACCTCACGTTGTTACTAGTAACAACGGGGAGGGGGTCGTACCTGGTTGAGTCTATAGGAGGGGGGTCGTATAGGTTGGGAGTTGGGAGCGCGTGGGAGAAAAAGTCGCCGTTTCAGCGCGTGTATATACTCCCCTAGAAGATGAAGCAGTGAGAAGGAAGGCAGAAGTGGGTAAAAGTAAGAGGAAAATGGTGGAAATTAAGGGAGTTTCGGTAAATTTTCATTGTTTTAGATTAGCTATATACCCCCCCCCCACTCCCGCTCAACGACATTTTTGGAGGAAAAGTGGGCGGAGTTTGGTGGGTTGAGTGGTATCAGAATTAAATACTATGGAGAGGATGATGGTGGTCGAGGTGTGGAAAAGGGGGTCGTATCAAGTCCACCTTGGGGAGGGGGGTCGTAAAATTTTTTTCAAAAAGTGACAACGATAGAACCGATCCTGCACGGAAGTCGTCTGACGCCACCTTAGCACTTCAGTTTTCATGCTGCTGCAATTTTTGCCGACGTGACCGCTCACAACTCGTTTAGAAAGTTCACGTAACAGTTTTGGTCACAATGGTAGCTCTTACGATTACGGTTAGAGGCAACTTCAATTGATGCAGGTATTCATGTTCATGTTAGATACGGGAGCATTGCCAGACTGTCACAGTAGCCTAG